CCTAGAAAGAACAGCAATAAAACTAAAGGTTGGCTAGGGTATCCGACTGGGAGCACCTGGATTTTGAGAACGTTGCATAGCCACATATCTCAAGAGATGGGGTTGCATGTGTTTGAAGAAGGGAACGTGTGAGAGAATTGAATATGCTTTTTCATATGCTTGCAATGAGGTGTAGGGGGTCATGTATTTTTATCCATGTATGTATATTTCAATGATAGATGTGTGGAATGCTTTTGTAGATGTTTAAGAGACAGTGAATGTTTTGGGGGTAAGATCCAGAGTGGCATGGCTCCAAAAATGTTGGAGGACCTCCTCCCCTTCACAGTTGCTGTACCACACTATCCAATGCTCTGAGCTGGCTGAGTCAGTTAAAAAAGATACAGAAGTCACAGGAGCTATTTTAGTGGAGGCAGCAAGGAAATAAAAGATTTCTGCCTAGTGGCAGTGACACACAGGATGGGCTGTGTTATTGTATTAAAACTGGAAATAGCAAGGTAAAAATCATATTATATTCATCATTTTTAAAAGGATAGACAATAAAGACAATTGTATTTACAAACTTGTTTTTATTAACTATCATAAAAAACCCTTATTACTGGTACAGGAGGAGCTTATCCAGCATTGCATTGCATGCCTTGCATGCGGCTGCAGACCTGGCCCCACCTCTGGGGCCTGCCCTGCACTTCCCAGGGACTGGCACACTATTCTGGGCTAGCTGCAACAGCCATGTCTGGGAAGGGGAGTTTTCCCTGTATGGCTATCTGTGCAGAGAAACGGTACTGCTTGCACAGACCTCCTTCCTCTCACCCAGCCCTCCCTCCCCATGTCTGTCTGTGGTGCTGGTACAAGGCATCTTCACAAGTGACCCCAGCCAGCCAGCCCGGCAGCCAGCCCGCCCCCTTGCAGGTCTCTATCAGTCTCTAACTTTACAAAACCTTCTTGAGTGAAATCAGAGAGGGAATATGACTATATTAGAATATAGTTCTAATATAGAATATAGCATATAATTAGAATATAGCTAGAATATAGTAATGTGATGTCATGAGACTCTAGGAGCTTCTGACTGACAAATACCCATATATACTGGTGTGTAAGAGCCCCTTGAAACTGAAAATAGTTAAGCAAAAATTGGAGGTCACCTTATATACCGGACATGTGACAAACATCAGACAAACAGCACAAAATATCAACCTCATAAGCAAGTTTCCTTATATGGTGGTATATACAGTAGATAGTTTCTCACATACCCATGTTCTCATGGTCTAGTGCATGTTCTCATGCAGCCCATAATGTCACAATTTCAAAACTGGTTCACCATGTGGCATGGGAAGCTTCTGCTCAAATACAAAATACCATTTGTTGTTCAACTTTCATCCAATACATATATACGTACTATTAATGACCTTCTTGGACCTGTTGCTATGATTAGGAATAATTTTCCAAATAGCCTACATGTATTGTACCCTTTTCTTGTACAATATTATTCCACCTTTTCTTTTGATATCTAGAGAAAAGTCCATCTCTTATTGTTAATGCATATAGAGTGCATCATACACATGTTTACACTGAAAAATGTCCTATAACTCCCAGCTATTGTGGTTTGGAAGGATTGTGGTTTGGGGGTGACTGGTAAAACAAAGTATGTTGTTGCATGTGGAGCCTTTCTAAATGACAGGTTGTCAGTTGAAAAGCAAAGAGAAGGAAGTCTCTGTAGAATGATAATAAGCAAAATATATTCCCTATAGTTATAAAAATCAGAAATCAGTACAAATGCTTAACTTTCACTCTGTAACAGTGGATAGTATATTACTGTTTACTATATAATCTGTGTAACTATTTATGTTTTATATATAACTTGGTATTGAAATAGGTTCAATAGATCAAAGGAACTATATTTTGTCTTCTCTAAATATGAGAAAATAATTGGGCAGGACTTATAGTACAAACACATCAAACACCTGCACTCCTTGATTTAGTTAAGATTATTTTAGGAATTAAATATGAAGTGAATAACCACAAATGAAAACATTTCATATTGTAAACAGATATATAAAGGTTTACATTTCAGTGCTGATAAGTTTTGAATATAAAAATAATAGATTTATTTAGGAAACAGTGCTTATAATTAGCAGTAAACCAGAGGTTATTTTGTCACCAGAGTTTAGACTCTGGCAGCTAATGTGACAAGGGTAAAGAATAATTATTGACAAAAATAGAAACATTAATGGTTGGTATGAACATGATATCAGATTAAAATAATTAGGATCTATAAAGGAAAATATAAATGCAGATCATAAAAGACCACTCTGTCATTAGAAGAGCTTTTGCTTAATTTTGTATTGTGGCATTTCTGTAGTTGTGATCATAATGCTCTTCAATACGTGTGGAGCAAAGCTTTCCAAATAACCTAAAATAAGAGTAGATTATGTCCAATCTTACACTGGCATAAAAAATACCAAAAAAAGTTATAACCCCCAATAACAACTGCATAGTTACTAAGAAAATAATCAGAAGAACCAGTGCAAGCAATGCCTAGTCTAATTGATTTATAATGAGTTGTGGACCGCTTTGTGCAACAGCTTATGCAAGTGGAATCAATGCAAGTGGATTTGGCACTTGTGTAAAGATGAACATGAGATTTCTGGAAGGCATAGGAGGCTGAATTAGCAGAATGTCACCCTTGGTTAAAATCCACTAATGTTTAGCTCACACAATCCATGTAATGTATCTGAATCACAGAAGGCAAATCTTCTAGGAGTATGTTTTAAGTAAGTCTTTACTGTTTCTATCAGACACGATGAACAAGAATATGTATGATGACAGAAACAATGTATTGATGCTTCAGCATTTTTAATGTAGATTCTTGCTCTTGTGGTTTTTGTAAAAAATATATACTAACTAATGATGTCTATGTGTTTGTGGAGAAAGAGAAACACTATTGCTCCCAGTGTCTTGGAAAATATTTTAATTATAATTTTCCAGCAGAATGTACAATCCATCTAAGGAATGTCAATCACTTTGCTGTGAAAGATATGGTACTTGGGAGCTGTCACTCATGTCTGCTATGAGTGAAGAAGGTTTTCAGAATTGGTGTCCCTGTACTTATTAAATGCAGATACAGGAAACCTGAATTAAACCCAGACTGATGGATAACACGGTTCATTTTTAAGGATTGCAATGATTGCTATACTTGCATTATTAAGACTTGAAGAATTTATGATCTGTTAAATTCAGAATCCAGTGTTTCTTCAAGCAAATTGATCAAGGGTTTCCATCGCTACGATAACAGGTTTAATCATAGAAAGTTTAGAATACTAATTGCAATCAATATGTTACAAAATATTAGTAACTAGTAACTGGATTTTATTAGGTCATGTGACTTATTTTTAAGTGAAAAGTATCTGTAAAATGGCTTATCGGTGTTATTCAGTGGCTTATTGAAGCCCTTTTTATTGTTTGGTTGGAGCTGGATGCTTAATTTAGTGCATTATAGGAGGCTACCATTTATCTTTCCAGATAAATATGGAAAGAGATCTGCCCTTTAACTGTCCAAAGTGTACAAAAAATCCATGTATTTTGACTATCTATTAACTTTCACGAAGGAAGTAGGTAATTTAAAGGACCATGTATATTAGTTTTAACATGTAAACACTTTTAACAGTATTCCAGAGTTTATCCATATTATAACCTCTCCCCAAAAAGAGGCAATTACTGGGCATGCTGAGACATGTATTTTAAAGATGCTTTAGCGATATCCTACTACCCCTTGTTAGCTGATTTGGCTAACCCCTTGTTAAAGAGACATTGTGGTGTTCAAGAAACATGGAATAAAAATTTTTCTAGTGTTCAGTATAACCTAAGTCCACTGACATTCTTGATACAGATGCTAATTGAACAATTCATTGATAAAGCAAAATAGGACGCTCCAGGATTCCTTCTTAAGGCCCTGTGTCTCATATTTATTTGCGGTTTATATTCATAAACACAAATCATTGGTTCAGTATGACTGATCAGCTTCTAAGTACTTCCACTAGCAAAGAAGACTATGAAGCTGTAGAAGTAGCAAGGGCAAACCTGGATCCTAATCAATGTGGCAACTACAGGTATTACCATTCAGCCATGGCTGGCAAATAAAAAATGGCAAACACTCATCAGCCCTCGCTAACTGATCTAAACTAAAATCACCTTATCAGTCCAAGTGTGCCACAAAAACATTCCCTTAGCAATTTTAAAGTTTGATTTGGCATACTGTTGATTGAACATGAGAAAACAGACTGAAGTGTAATTGCCATGATATTATTTACAACATGTCCCTATCAAGTGCAACTGTGGAAGGAACCATACCCATCTTAGTACACAGGGAACCTAATGCTGTCATTTGGAGGGGAATCCCAATGAGTGATTCCAGAATGGATCACGGTAGAAAATCTAATCTTCATGGAGAAATCCCCCAAATTTAGTGCAGATTAACAGATAAGCCCAATAGGCAAGGTCCTGAAAGCCAACCCCACTTTCTTTAGTGGGAAGTTCCATCCTTTTTCAGGATATTTGTGGCAGGGGGTTCTCCATCCCTGCTTTATGAAACAGAGTATTATGATTTGAAAATACTGGCGGATATAGTTATTTTATTCTTTAGGGTTCAATTTCTGTATACAAGCAACATCTGTAGCTCAAAATGAAACATGAATAATAAGCTTCTGTTTTGCTATTTATTTTTAGGATTTATTTATGATAAAACTTAACCCCTTTATCTCATATTTTTGAACAAATACTTTCATTCAAAATCTGAAAACTTAGAATAAAAATTGTCATAAAATTTGACCCAAGAATCGGAATACAGTAAAACAATATGTAGTAATACATGCATACTTAGTGCATAATAAATTCCATAGCTGTGTACTGAAATACACTCAATTCACTCTAATATAGATGTCAACAGTTAATTGACAAACAAATTCATTGTTTATTATCTATATTCTTTCCTTTTTTCCCCCGCTCAGTCTGCTGCAGAACAGGCCAAGGCTAGATTGCAGTTGGTTCTTGAAGCTGCTGGTAAGTAAAGAAATGAACATATGGATAAAAGAAATAATACTGGTGCTTATTTTGACCACAACTCATCTAAGTTGTCATTTAAATATAGTTAATGGCGAAATCAACGCAGCTGTTGTAAATAGTTACTTGATAGCTATACCTTGATATGGGCCTGATAGCTTATAGCTACACTTCTTAGTGATTTAAATACTATTTCTTCTTTGCAACACAATATTGGAGGGTCCTAGAACATCTCAAGATCAGTAGCTAATAGATATTTTAAAAATCCCTTAATATGCTTCTTCAGTTCTGCTCACCTTTCACATTAGTTTTGCATGCATGTTTTTGTCTAAAAGATTTTGCTGCATTTTCTCTGCTTCATCATATATTCAGAAAATTCTATGTAGAAATTCTGTTCTATGCAGTTTTATTTTCTTGAACCTTATAGTGAAACATATAGATATAGTTTAGTGAATATGGTTTCTCAAAAATATTTTGTCCAAAATCAAAATGTTTTCTATTCCTATTTCTAGCAAATGTTCTGTTCATGTTTTCCAGTGTAATGTTATGTATTGCAGTTTCAAACTTATGCATTGTTCTCCCTTTCTTTGAATATGTCTCTGAAACATATAATTATAAAGTAGATGTGACAGTGCAGAACAATTTGTGTATAGTGCTCTAAGCTGTCATACCTCATTTTTTAAATTTAACACCTAAAAGTATATTAAGGATAATATAAGTTTTGTGTCATTGTGATTGGAGGCATAGCTTTGAAAGCTTATTTCAGGTTTTTGTGATACTTGTTAAGCTAAAATACTTAAAATTGTAGTTAAATTGAGGTTCATATTACTCTGAAATGAATTAGGGAATTAGAAAATACATTTTATTTAAACAATTTGAAATCACTTTATTTATGTCTGCCCATCTGACACAGCATACCAAGCCAAAAACAACCCTGCCAGAACACAAGTAAAATATAATATACAATAATTAAAAATTAAAACAAAACAAAGCAAAAGCATGGTATAAACACTATTTCAATCAAGGACAATAAAATGTTACAGCTCATATTTTAAAAATGCACACTAAAATGGTAAGGGTCCACAGTGTACTTAAAACTCAACTTTCTTGAAAAGACCGGAGTAAATAGTTGGTTTTCATCTGGTGCCAAAAGAAGGTGCCAGACAGTTCTTCTGGGGGAAACTTCATTTAAACACAGGAAAGAAAAAGTGTACAAACTGGATTTGCATTTCTTTTTCACAATTAAGACTTACAATAAATAATACTTTGTAATAGCATGGGAAATTTATGTTTAGGCATAAATTTAGGCAATGCCTCACTGAAGGAAGGCTGGGTCCCTGCCCCTTTAAAGGAGGCCCATCCTGAAGAAGGCATCTCTGAACCTAGAAGCGGCCACCAATTACAGACCAGTGGCCAACATTCTGTTCTTGGGCAAGGTGTTAAAGCGGGTGGTGGCTGGACAACTCCAAGCACTCTTGGATGAAACGGATTATCTGGACCCATTTCAGTCCAGTTTCAGACCCAGTTATGGTACTGAATCTGCCTTGGTCGCCCTGTACAATGAACTATGCACAGGGGGAGAGCATCCCTGTTGATTCTCCTGGACCTCTCAGCGGCTTTTGATACCTTCGACCATGGTATCCTTCTGGGTAGGCTGGCCGTGTTGGGAGTTAGAGGCTCTGCACGGCAATGTTTCCACTCCTGTTTGGCCAGTCAATTCCAGAAGGTGGTGCTGGGGAACTTTAGCTCTGCGGTATGGTAACTTTGCCATTGAGTACCGCAGGGCTCTATTTTGTTCCCCATGCTCTTTAACATCTACATGAAACCGCTGGGAGAGGTCATCAGGAGGTTTGGGTTGCGGAATCATCAGTATGCTGATGACACCCAGCTCTACCTCTCATTTACATCTAATCCAGGTGAGGCAATGGCTGTCCTGAACCGGTGCCTGGCCAAGGTAATAGGCTGGATGAGGGCCAACAAACAGACTCAATCCAGATAAGACGGAGGTCCTTTTGGTGGGCAGTTCGGGTTATCAGGTAAGTGATTTTGGTCCTGTCCTGGACGGGGTTGCACTCCCTCTAAAGGACAGGGTCTACAGCTTAGGAGAGCTCCTTGACCCGGAGCTGTCCCTGGAGGCCCAGGTGATGGCAAGGAGCGCTTTTCTTCAGCTCCGGCTGATCCAACAGCTGCGTCCTTATCTGGACAACCACTGCCTACCAACAGTGACACATGCACTGGTAACTTCCTGGTTGGATTCTTGTAATGCACTCTACATGGGGCTGTCCTTGAAAATGTTCCGGATACTTCAGATGGTGCAGAACAGAGCTGCCAGGTTGCTGATGGGGACTGGCTGTTATTGTCATATAACGCTGATCCTCTTATCAGCTTCACTGGCTCCCAATTGAAGTTTGGGCCCAATTCAAGGTGCTGGTACTAACCTGTAAGCCCTAAACGGCTTGAGACTGGGATACCTGAAGGAACGTCTCCTCCCCTATATGCCCTCATGCCCCTTAAGATCGGCAAGGGAGGCCTTGTTCCAGGAACCCTCTTTGCAGGAGGTATGGAGGGTATCTACCTAGAGGAGGGCCTTCTCTGCAGTGGCGCCCAGATTATGGAATACACTCCTCAGAGAGGTCTGCCTGGCGCCACCTCTACTCTTTCTGGTGCCAGGTAAAGGCTTTTTATTTAACCACTATTTTAATAATTAATATCATTAATTTATATATTATTAATTTTGTACATTCGCATTTTCATTTTTATTTTTTCCTCTTTCTTTAGTTATGAAAAAGATATATAGTTGTTTATTTTGTTCTATTGTTGAATGTTTTAATATTTATATTATTATATTGTTAATTATATTGTTATTTTTATCTTCTGGAAGCCATCCTGAGGCTTGTTGCAAAGGATGGCATAGAAATGTCTCAATCAATCAATCAATTCATTAAATGCTATTGTTTTCTCTGGTAAATGTAATTATTTTTTCTGTGCATTCCTTTTTTCGTACATATCAATCCAGTGTGGCACAGTTTAAGGTCTTATTTATGTAATGTAAATTTCCCATAATAATTTTAAATACTAGAGCATTCTAGAGTTCAATTAGTAAGATACAAGTTTAGAGGGCTATATTCCAATTTTGATTTGGAAATCTTTTTTTTTTTTTTTTGAGAGTTGGCAAGAACTGTCTTTAATGTTACTGATGCAGTTTTCCTTTGTTAAATATTACAGGTGTTGTGCGTTCCCAGGTATTACTGGTTTTGTGCAAACCATTAGCATCTCTGACTGACCAGCAAAAATGGCTGAGTGTCAAAGTGCTCTTAAAACATTCAATTTTTGAAGTATAGGCAAATGTTTTCAAGGCACATTTAAAAAGAGATTTTGAATAGGAGTTTTGGGTGTATTTATTTTCATGATGCATTCAGGTAGACTTTTGAAATGCTTTGTAATTCACATCCTCAAGAAGTCTAAACTACTAATTTATGTTTTCAGACAGATTATATCAATTAGACATTTATATGATTTGGCTATTGGCTATGTATTTTATGTTAATGACAGCTTGTAGATGTGTTTACACAGCAAGGGCAATAACTAAAACCACATAAGTACTTTAATGAATTCTTTAAATGAACTCAATTTTGTGCTCATAAAAAATGCCACTCAGCAAGGATTATTACTATCAGCTATAAATTTATATTTGAGTGATTTTATTTACTTATCCCTCTTAGAAGAAAGCTACTTTAACATAGTCTAACAATATCACAGCAACTTGCCATGTTTGAGCAGATGTTAAGCAGGCATTAGCTGAATGTTAATTTTGAGAAGCTGGTATGTTTAAGCCTATCTGAAGTATGTTGCATGTGGGCTTTCCAGGCTTAGTTACAATGCTATCTCTCTTGGGAGAATTTTAAAGCTAAATCTTTTTCTTTTTGTCACTCTATATGGACTCTCTCAAGTCAGTATAAAGCAGATCATCCCTAGGCTAAAGCTCTTCAGCTTTTGTTATTGGGCTCTGTAGACCTGTAATTAGGCCTCCTGGCAGGCCTTGCAGCCCAGTTAATGGTCATATGGAGTTTCTGTGAGGCAGACTGGCTTTGTATAAATCCTTCGTTGGAATATGTTTATGGGTCACTTCCTACCAGGACCATGTTTTGTCCTTGTGCCCTATGGGCTGACAAGGAACAGGTTCCCTTGACCATGGACAGCTCAGTTAGCTACTCACAATCTACTCAGCTAATCCCCAGTGTAAACAGAGGATTTAGCATAGCTTCTGTCACTTACAGTTGCCAAACCACTTGGGTGTCTGTGATTTCTTTTTGAGAATTCATTATAGAATGACAGAGAACCGTAAAAGGTTTCATGCTTATTTGTACATTAAATATATCCTGCTTCTCTCAAGTACTGTTAAGAAGCAGCATACAAAGTATGGGACATCCTACCTTGATAAGAGATATTAGTAGTTTATAAAATCAGAAATATTCACATATTTTAGCCATTCATGATTTAATTTAATTTTTAAAATGCAATTGTAAAAGCATTTCTACATGGTTAATTTCAGCTGCTTGTATAAAAATGTAGAAAAAATCTGCTCTGTTGGTAAAATTCTCTTCTTCTGCTTATAAAGACAATTACAAAAGTTGATTGATGTGTGCTTTCAAAGGTCCTGAGTTGAAATGGCTGTCTGATCTGCATGTGGAATCTGCATTTCAAATCTGTTTCTAAAAGAGCATGCAAAATACTGTATTTTAAAGACAGAATTGTTGATCGTTTAAAGCAGACTTCAGAATAGAGATGTTAATATGACATTAGCAATATGTGGTAAAAACTGACAGAGGAATAATTAATGTTTATATTTAATGGAGTTGTTTGACAGCTTATCTAGATGTTTGGCTGTTTAACTCATTATCCTGTGATTATATAGCCAGTTAGTTTCAGTTAGTTCTATATCACAATTTAAAAAAAACTGTTCCTCTAAGTGAATTAGACAGAAAAAATGCAAATATATT